TTGTCAGGAGGGAACAGTCGCTGGAGAAGGATGTCATACTGGGTAAGATGGAGGGTCAGAGAAAAAGAGGAAGACCCCCAACGAGATCGATCAGCCAGGTGGCATCACTGATGGACTCAAGTGTGGCAGCGGTAGTGAGGTTGGCCCAGGATTGGACATTGTTTCGTTCTGCTGTGTATGGGGTCTCTATGAGTTGGTTTCGACTCCATGGTACCTAACAACAACAACAATGTTAAACTTGAAATATTATTTTAGAGACAAAGTATGTCTACTCAGTGGAGATTGAAATGTTGATATGTTTGCCTGTTGCATGCTGTCGGGTTGCATTCTGTATGATGATGAATAGTTTTCAATGGAGCTCCCACTTTAAGACTGACTAAGAAGAAAATCCTGGTGATGTACATTCAAAAAATGCTTCCAACAGGAATCCTGGGGATCACAACGGTCCAATCCTGTTGTACATGATGTCTCCAACTGTGCAACAGCTATAAACAGCTATACACTAGTCACTGTACAGAGATGATAATAAAAGGAGTTGGTCTTTTCATGGCTATAACATCTGCCTTAAATGGATACATTAGAGGAGCTCCAGTTTTATGCAGGAAGCTTATTTGGTTTTGTTATCCAGGTCGTGTGATGAGTCAATTATGAGTCTATAAGAAATGTTTCTATTCATCTTCCAATAATCAGAACTCATGATGTTAAACATATATTTTATGTATTAAGACTTTTTGGAGGGATCAGGAAGTTTATATTTGATAGTGATGTAACTATTTAAATGACCTCAACTAATTATCTTTTGTTTGTAAGAGCTTTAATTGAAACCAACAATGCCATTTACAGAAACTTCTCAGCATTTAATGTCATAGAATTCCCATGAATCCATGAATATAATATTCTGATAATACACTTTTTGACTACAGCTATTTCTCAATATATTTTATCAGCTCTAGGAGGTCATTTAGTTCAAACCATAACCAATAGAAAAATATATTTTATAATAAAAACTGTTGAATGTTTTATAATTTGCAAATTTCCCTTAAGCATTTTAATGTATTTCATCTCAATGAAAATCTGAAAAAAAGTAGGTAGGTTATGATACAGAAATTGAGGTACATAGAGGTTAGGAAACATGCTAAAATCACACAGTTAATATATTTCCATGTCCAAGTATTAATTCTTTACTACGCTAATCTTTCATTCTTATCTCTTGGTGCTGAAACACTTGCTGTAGCAGGAAGCCCATTACTTCTTATTGTGACCCATTTTCTTGTGTAATTACCCACTTTTTAAATGCCCATATGCTTCATTGTCTCTCATCATTCCCAATGTCACTTTGGATCTCCAGATAAAACTTAATTCAATACTAGGTTCCCAAACCACTCCCTTCAAGTTTGGCAGACAGTGTTTCTTACCTTCATTCAAGAGTGATCGGTCTTTAATATTCCATTCATCTTAATGCCTTCACAACATTTGCTAATATGAGGATCTGATATTTTATATTAGTCATTCACATCAGCCACAACTCATACCAGAAAATCCAGAGACAGTAGAGAAATTAGTTTTCATAATTTTCTGTATTTGAATTAACAAATTACCACACATTTTGTAGCTTAAAACAACACTCATTTACTATCTCACAGCTTTGATAAATCTGGAGTATGAACATAGCCTCGCTGAGAGTCCGCTTATCATCTCACAATATTTCAATCAAGGTAGTAGCAAGGATCTCCATCAAACCTCACTGTCATATAATTTACAAAAGTTTTCAGATTAACAAGTATGTCCTAAATATTCCATATGATACACTTTAAAAAGTCATTTGTTTCTGAAATTCAGATATAACTGAGTATTTTGTATTTTATCTGCCAACTCCAAATATCATGTAATTATGATAGTAATATTCCATTAACTTTTCCATTTCCTTTTAGTTACAGGCAACTTATAGGTCCTGCCCATATTAAAGGGATGTTGTTGTTGTCGTTTTCAGGTGCCATCGAGTCGGAACCGACTCATAGCAACCCCATGCACAGCAGAATGAAACAATGTCCGATCCTGCCCCAACCTCACTACCGCCGCCACAATTGACGCCATCAATGATGCCACCTGGCTGATTCATCTCTTTGGGGGTCTGCCTCTTTTTCTCTGACCCTCCACCTTAGCCAGGATGACATCCTTCTCCAGCTACTCTTCTCTCCAGACAATGTGTCCAAAGTAGGAGAGATGAAGCCTAGCCATCTTGGCCTCCAAGGAGCACTCTGGTTGCACTTCTTCCAAAACAGATCTATTGGTTCTTTTGGCAGTCCACGGCACTTTCAGTATTCTCATCCAACACCACAACTCAAAGGCATAAATTCTTCTACGATCTTCCTTATTCACTGTCCAGCTTTCACATCCATATGAGGTTATTAAAAATACCATGGCTTGGGTCAGGCGCACCTTAGTCCTCAAGCTGACATCTCTGTTCTTCAATACTTTAAAAAGGGATAGAGTCTTGCAATGGTGTAAGTTATTGAGGACTTATCTTAATATTCTGCCTACCACATCTGTGCATTGTTTTTAATTCTTTTTATCCAACAAGCAATAACATTTCCTCCAGCATTTACGAAAAGCTATAGCAATAAGTATCAGCTTATAGTTGTTTCCTCCTTGAAATGGATTCCGTCTTTCTCCTTCGTCTAAAAGATTGTGTTTTCACTTATGACTGAAGCGTTCTTACACATGCTCCATATTCTGGCTCACAGTCTGTCTCTTCATTTGGAAAATGTTCTGAACCTCCCCTTTACTTACTGTGTCATGGTCCCTCTTCTGATTTCTTTCTTGGTACTTCACACACATTCCTGTATTTTAGAAATACTCAGATCTTTGTGGCCAATATATTGTTTCTTCACTTCTAGAAAGTAAGGATGAAAGATGTTAGTTCTCTTTCTTAGAACTTAGTGAATAGTTCTTTATTAGGATCACAATGAATGCCTAATGGTTGAGAGTATTCATTTATCTAATTCATAAGTGCATGTATGTCTTCAAAAATGATAATAATCCATCCACCCATCCATTCATCTATCCTTTCCGTTTTGCTCTTATATTTTTTTATATTGCAATTTGTTTCAAGATTCAAAGAATTCTAGGAACACTGAATTTATTGGACCATGGTTGAGTCAATCCATTTTCAACAGTATTTTTATCTCCCAGAAGAACACTGGCTTCTAAAGTTAAATATATAATAATTGATCACTCCTCTCAGATAAAAAAAAGATAAAAGGTTTCAGTTCTGTCTTTTCCTGGTATTAGCATCATCATTTTCTCAGTTGTGCTACAAAGTTCAAATCCATTCCTAACTTATAGTGTCTCAAATAGGATAAGAACAGAATTTAATATGTGAGAGGAGGCTTCAAAAAGTTCATGGAAAATTGAACTAAAAATAATGGAAGTCCTGGTGACTTCTGGGTTAGGTATTAAATTGCTAATTGAAAAGTCAATGGTTCAAACCCACCACCTACTCTTAGGGTAATAGGTGAAGCTATCTCCCCCAATAAGATTTACAGTCTTGGAAACTCTACATTGGGTTGATATGGGTCAGAATTGACTCAGTGGAATTGGTTTTCATTCAGTTAGTGCTTCTAGAAGGACACATAATGTATCTAGCATAGTACTGTTGTTGTTAAGTGCCCTCAAGTCAGTTCCGACTCATGGAAACCCTTTGTAAGGTTTCCCAGTAGAGGCTAGTGAGTTTGAACCACCGAGCTTTCAGTTATCCTTCAGCACCACAGCCTAACTGATCCTAGTCTTTCAGATATATGAATGCTGATACAACCCTGAATTTCCTACAAGAAATGAGATATACTCTACAGATATTGTCTTTCCTAGGGTTGTGTCCCTTCTACTTCACTATTGTTGTCAAACATATTACAATTTCTACTTCACAAACTCTGATATGTATCTGTGTTGTTTCATTAACTAGACCAACAACCACATCCAGGACCACTTCACCTGTCTTTAGATCATTTGTATACCAAACTGCTGGGATTCTGTTTCTTCCTTCCAACTAATTTATTTTTGTACCATTATCATTTTTTAAAAGTAGATTTTTTTTTAAGTTATTTCTCTTTGTGTGTGTGTGATGAATATTAGTTACTACAGAAATAAAGAAATACATACACATAGTCTAATGAAACATAAAAGCTCCAAGAGGAAAAAAAAAAAAAAATTAGTCAAATGGATTAAGAACCCAAAAGTAAGACAATAAGTAAATCGGTTTTAAGGAAGATACTAAAGATATGTAACATTTAGTATGATATGGGAACCAATCAAACAAATGGGCACCATGAATGCAAAAGTGGGATGGTTATACAAAATGAACATTGGCCTTAGCTTTTCTCTAAGGAAGGTACAGAAATATAGAACAAAAATGTAACTCAATAGCAAGACTGATAATAAAGACACACACACTAGTTAGGAGAATAGAATATTTTTATTTCGAAGTAATCATAATATACACCATAAAAAAGAAGGTAGTGGGTTTACACTGGAACTATGACCAAAATGAAATCTCCCTTCCAGAAAGATCTCGGAGAATTTAGGTTCTGCTAATAACAGCATTTTCAAAAGGACAAGCAGTTTTCTGTAAATTGACTATCTCTGTTTGGTAAAATCAGATGAGATTCTAAGACCTTGAAACAGAAATGGTCTTGGAATGGTTATTTTAGGGGGGAAAATGCCTTAGACTGATGTTCTAGTAACAAAAGGAATAGCAGCTTCTGTAGCAAAATGGCTGGTAGCCATAGCATCCAGAGCCATAGCCCAAACCACAGCCATAGCGGGAGCCATATCCACAGCCATAGCCTGAGCCATACCCACAGCCATAGCGGGTGCCATAGCCACAGCCGATTCCACAGCCATAGCCAGAACCATATCCACAGCCATAGCCTGAGCCGTATCCACAGCCATAGCGGGAACCGTATCCACAGCCATAGAGGGAGCCATATCCACAGCCATAGCCTGAGCCATAGCCACAGCCATAGCCACCGTAGTAGTTGCAGCACATGGTGTCCAAAGGTGAAGTTTTAGTTGAAGTGTAGGAGGATGATTCTGAAGTGTGAATGTCATCTGCTCTTCCAGGGCCTTTATATACTGACAGAAAGGGGTGGGGATTCTTTACATAGAGTCTTTGGCATCATTACTACAGCAATTTTCATTTTTAAAATAACAATAATATTTGGAAGTATTTATGTCCAGGATTTGATGCTACCCAATCAAGAGAGATGTGAAAAGCAAATGTACCCTACACATTGGACAAGTATGTGATGTGGAATGTAAATAAGACTTAATATAGATTTTCTCTTCAGAGGCATTAAGTCTCCTGCTCTACCAGGTAAACATATTGGATACTGGAAAATGGCCCAGCATCTCATGTCTCAGCATCAATAAGAAAGATCCTGGCCTGGAAGTGAGAGGCAAACATTAGGTGGATATGATGAGGCACTCTTAAGTTACACCTGCAAAAATTAGATGGAGCCAATGCAAATTGATCAATACATATCTCAGCATCAAAAAGAAACCAACTTGATGATACTAAATAACAAAAACAACAACAATAATATGCTAGATATATTATGTTTTAGGAACAGGAGACAGTGAGACCAAGAAGATGTGAAATGGTGCAAAACAAGAGTCTAATTCAATATACAAAATTAAAGCAACAGTGACTTTGCCCGGTACAACATAACTCACTCCTACTAAGATTTCAAGGCGTCTTGGTGTGGTGCTGTAGGATAAGCACTTGACAACAAGGTCAGTTTTAAAAATAAAGTCAGTGGTTCAAACTTACCAGCTACTCTTCAGAAACCTTATACAGGGCCACTATGAGTCAGAACAGACTCAGTGGCACTTAACAACAACAACAACCGAGATTTAATAAAACAGACCATTTAGTAAGTCGCTTTCTTTTATTGAAACACCCTACCTGCTTACTTCACCAAATTTTTGCCTGCTGTTGTCCCAGTGAAAATCTTGGTATGATGTTGTGTAATACAAACTAAAAGATAGGCACTAGACTGCAAACCACAAGGTTGGCAGTTCAAACCTCTCACAGCTCCTTGGAAGTCCTATACCAGGTCTCTGTGAGTCAGAACCAACTCGATGGCACTTAAAAGCAGCAACATTTTTTCTCTGCATCCTAGTCACACAGTGGATAAAGTACTTGGCTCTAACCAGAAGGTTAGCAGTTAAAATCCACCAGCCCATCTGTGAAAGAAAGCTGTCTACTGCCATAAAGGTTTATAGGCTTGGGAACCCTGCAGAGAGCAGTTCTATTCTCTTGATTCAATGGCAGTGTGTTTGAGGTTTTTAGTTTTATATCTCCCATAAGAAGCATTCCTGAACATTCACAATGTGCATTAGTTATCATTCCTCTGTTCATTCCTAGGTCCCAGTGTATAACTCAAATAGACTATTGAATATGCTATATGAATATATTTCATTGTAATTGTCTGCTTCTCACAGTCAATTGGCAATAACTTGAAGTCAGTATTTGTGCCTTCATTTTCTGATAATCTAATTCACGAGACAGTTACTAATATTTGAATGATTTTCATTTTAATTTATGGAGTGTTCTACAAATTGGACTGCTAAACCCAAATGTCAGCAGTTTGAATTGACCACCTGCTCCATGGGAGAAACATGAAGTTTTCTACCCCTGTAAAGATTTATAATCTAGGAAACCCTATACCCTATTAGAGGCTTACTATGAGTCGGAACTTACTCCATGGCACACAACTACCACCACCGCTATATGTACAACTGCATTTGATTCTTACAAATAAAGACTAATCTTTATGGAAGCAAACTGTGTCATCTGTCTTTTGTAGACTGCCTGGCAGGTCTAAACTGCCAACTTGTCATTTGTCACTGAAACATTTTAACCACTATACCATCAAGTCTCCTTTTTACATTGTTGTTGTTATGTGCTGTGGAGTTAGTTTCAACTCATAGTGACCCTGTAGAGGGTTTCCAAGGCTGTAAATCTTTACAGGAGCCGAAAGCCTCATCTTTCTCCCATAGAACAGCTGGTAGTTTTGAACTGCTGACCGTGAGGTTAGCAGCCTGATTAGAAATTGGCAAATTTTGCAAACTACTCTGCTCTTACATGGAGGACCTTTTATGATGCAATCCTTTCCAGAGCACTGATAGTTGTAGCTAGGCACCATCTAGTTGATTTGGTCTCAGGGTCATGGAGACTGATGTTCATGTAGTCTATTAGGCCATTGGACTAATTGTTTCCACGTGGCTTCAATTTTCATTGCTCTTTTTATTTTTTCCTCTGGTCAGGGAGAGACTAATAGCTGAATCCCGATATAGAATTTTAAGTCATCCACTAGCGACATTTTTTAAAAAGAATTTTTAAAGTATGAAATGAATGTCAATAATATGCAATTTCATGTATCATAGTAGTTTTGCACAGATAACAAATGCCTTCTTCATTAGTCTTCCATTCCCTCCTTTCCTGCTGGGAGGTATCTTTGTAAGTGTGCTATGCTATTTTTTTTTTTTTTACAGTAACCTGTAAGAAAAATTGGCATGGCACTTAAGAAATACCTCCTGAGGGAGGGAGTAGTTGGCAAACAACCATAGATGGTTGGTGCATGCTAATTGTGTAAAGATACAGTAATATATCCCAAACACTATAATTTAACATACAATAAATATTTTTAATAATTTGATATATTTCTCACTCTATTTCTGTATTTTATTTGACATTTTATATGCACTTAATAATTCCAGCTGTGTTATTGAGCCATATTTCAATTGCTCACTAGTTGTATCTAGTTTGTGGTTACCATATTACACAGTGTAACTCTAGTGAACTGGAAATTTTCTTTATTGCCATGGCTATTGATTGCATTTTTCCAACTACAAGTTACTACTCTAGCAATAAACTGCCAGCTTTTTGTTTCTTTACCTATATTCCTCTTCCAAGAATTCCATTGTCCTTCACATGAAACTGACTGATAACATAATTTATTATTAAGTGCCATCAAGTTGTTCTGACTCATAGTGACCCTGTATAGGGTTTCTGAGAAGGGTTTCTAAGAAGTAGTGGTGGATTTGAACCACTGAACTTGTGGTTAACAATCCAGTCCTTATCCTACAGAGCCACACCAGGACTTCATCTCTGCTCGTATATCATTCTACCTTGGAAGCAATTTCTGACCCTTGAAAGCCAAATCTTTCCCTTTCCACATTTTGATTGGTTTAGGATTCTTAAGTTCTTTGTTGGTAGCTCCATAACATCTCTCTGCACAACTCTTATATTTTAAAGTTATCATTTAATTTTTAACATTTAATTGAATATTTTGAAATCTTAGGAGAAGAAATTATGTATTTTTTTATCTATAATTCCAATACTAATCTCATTATATACCTGAAACATAGATTTTAAGATTTGTTGAGTGACTGAAACAATAATTGATTTTCTAGTATTTAATAGCTCATCAAAGAAAATGATTTTTTTCTTATAAAAATACTTTGATACTAAAATAATATCCTGACTACATTAATTTTAGAAATTATTTGCCTAAACATTTGCTAAAAGTGCTTTCTAATATAGCCTTCCTTTCTTTATATAATGTGATTCGGTAGATGTGTGAATCCAAATCTTCGTTTTTCTTAAGTTCATCAATCTTCTGTCACACACACGTAAACCCATACACATACAAACACAAAAATTTCTTCTAGTATTTCATATCTATCCCATAAACATTATTGTCATTTCTTGTTTCTAAAACCTAAGCAACTATAATTTTCATTAACTAAGAGAGTCACAACAATCCATATTTTCAAAATATTTTAATGTTGGATTGTGATAACTCTTTCATGGATGTATCAGTTATACATAAGAATGTCTTCTTTTTTGAGACTGTTTTTAATAACAGGGAACAAGTGATAAATTAGATTTTCAAAAGGTGTCATTTCTAGAATTTTCTTCTATTCTGTAAGCCTAATCTTATTGTAACCCAAAGTACAGCCAATTCTCAGATCCACTGTTACAAATAATCAACAAATGTAAAGATTGTCATGTTCTTCAAAGAAACCCTGATTCTTCATCAATTGGTCAATACTAGATCCTGGGTACAGCCACACTCTAGCACTGACTGTGATGACCAAACAGTTGGATCCTTTTAGTAGTTGGCCATCTTTGCAGGGTCTCCTACTTCCAAAAGCCTCAGAATTTATTGGGCAGAAATCCTGGTGCTCAGATAATCCAGACTTTTAACCACTTTGTATTATTTACCCCAATACAAAGAGATCCCCTTAAGGCACTTAACCTTATTATTTTCCAACTCTAAATGCTGCACCACCTTATTATACTTAATCAATAAGTATGATACTTAATGAACTTGCTCTTCCCATTTTTACTTTCTCTTTTCAGCATTATCTGTAAGTGACATCTTTGTATTGTCAAATTTCAACTCAGCTGTCACTATTTCAGAATACTTCTGATTTATGTCTCTCTGACTTGTGTCTCTCTATATGTTTTTAAATGAACAGCCCAGTAGAATATAAATATTCTGAGAATAATTAACTTGTCTACAGTTTTTTTTTTTAAGTTGTTTTTCCTGTTGTATTCTCAGTGTGTAAATTGTTGTTGTTGTTGTTAAGTGCCGTCGAGTCGGTTCCAACCCTTAGCGACCCTGTACAGGGTTTCCAAGGGGTGTAAATCCTTACAGGAGTAGAATTAGTGCCCATTAAAACATAAAAATTAACTGTTTCATATGTGAATTAATTGAAATTATTCAAATATGTAAACAAACATTTAAAATTCCTTCAAATTCATATGGTACAACTAATGCATCTCTTCTAACTCAGGCTTTCCTTAGGTTTTGACTTCCCATACTTACCAAACAACTCTTATTCTACTTTCTCAATTACCTTAGGCTATCTCTTCAGTTCCATTACTCTTAAAAATACATTGACCACAGTTGTTCAGTTAATAATGTTTGTAATAACCTGCTGACTAGGCATCATTTCTCTTTCTCTATACTCCCCAACTCCATTTGAGACACCAATGCCATTTACAGAACAGAACTCTCACTTTCTGTGCTATGTGTGCTTAGGGTGTAAGTTCCTGAAGGTGTGGAATATCAGAAACAAGTGGAGTAGACTTTAATTATGAAATAGTATAAGTAGAAATACATATAATGACAATGGCATTAAGATTCATCCAATAAATGGTTGGCACAATTAATAATGTTATTATTGTCATTGTTCAGTGCTGTGAAGTTGGTTCTGACTTATAGAGGCCCTGTAGAGGGCTTAAACCACACCAGGACTCCACAATTGTTGTTGATAGTACAGGCAATTTGGCATGGCCTCATAGCAACCTTGTATAAAGATTCCAAGGATCAGCTGGTGAGTTTGAATCATCAATTTTGTGGTTCAAACTGACCTCGAAGTCCAATGATGTATCCCATGGCACCACAATAAAGGACATAAAATCACAAGAAAGGAGTAATTCATAAACAATTAGAAAGATATTTTCTATGAAAAAGAACCATTTTTATTGAGGATAAATTATTTTTCCAACAAAGGGCAATCAGTGCATTCATAACAGAAAATCAGAAGTAAGGCAGTAAAGGCAACATTTAGAAAACAGTCAGACTATCTTGGAGTCTTTGGACACAAATACGCCATGCTAAGAAATTGGTCCTTATAGATCAAACCTTTATCAAGCATGTATCTTCTCTAAGAGAAATATTGTTATATAGGATCTTGAATCAGAATTATGCTTAGAAGTGTCATTTCAGTAGAAAATGCTGCTTTGGTAGTGATGTTCTAGCAGCAAGAATAGCATCTTCTGTAGCAAAATGGTCTGTATCCACAGCCAGAGCCAGAGCCATAGCCACAGCCATAGCGGGAGCCGTATCCACAGCCGTAGCCAGAACCATATCCGCAGCCGTAGCCAGAGCCATATCCGCAGCCGTAGCCAGAGCCATATCCACAGCCATAGCCAGAGCCATAACCACAGCCATAGCGGGAGCCGTATCCGCAGCCATAGCCAGAGCCATATCCGCAGCCATAGCCTGAGCCATAGCCACAGCCGTAGCCACCATAGTAGTTGCAACACATGGTGTGGAGAGGTACTGTTTCAATTGCAGTGCAGGAAGATGATTCTGAAGTCTGAATGTCATCTGCTCTTCTGGGACCTTTATATACTACCAGAAAGGGGTGGGGCACACTTAACACTGACTCTGTGACATCATTACTACAGCAATTTTCATTATTAAATAGCTCATCATACTAAGAACAACAATATTTTCAGGTGGTTATGTCTAGGATTTTCTACTTAGCCAATCAAGAGAGTTGTATGGAAGCAGATGTACCCGCCACATTAAAGAAATATGTCCCGTGGAATGTAATCAAAGCCTAATATAGATTTTGTCTTCAGAGGCATTACCTTCTGCACTTCCAGATACACACACTTGGGCACTGGGAGACGGGCCAGCATGTTATATATGTGTATCAACAAAGTACCTTGTGTTAAGGTGAGAAACAAAAATCTGGGGAAAATCTTGAAGTACTCTCAGGCTACACCTCCAAGAAAGGAGAACCAATGCAGAACAGTCACTTCAGTAGTGGTAGAAACAGGAAACAGTTGAGACCACGATGTTTTGTTCTTTTTGTGAGCCATAGAGTCAATCCCAACTCATAGAGATCCGATATAGAATTTTCATGGCTGTAAATCTTTGTGGGAGCACAAGTCTTCTCTTTCTCCCAAAAATCAGTTGGTGGGCTTGAATCTCTGACATTGTGGTTAGCAGTTAAGTGCTTAGCCTACAAATCCACAGCACTCCTCCCAAGACAACGTGAAATGGTACAAAAGAAGATTCTGATACTGTACACCCAATGAAATCAATGTTTCTTTGTTTGTTTCCAATGCAACATTATCAACTCCATCTAAGGGTTCATTGAATATTACTTTTTGGTCTGGTACTTTCTCTTCTTGAAACATCTTGCCTGCTCACATTTCTTTGATACTGTCCCACTGACCTTTGAAAACTCATCTCAGACTATGTTGTTTTTCTTAGTTTTTGCTGACAAATGAGTTCTGACTCATGGTGACCCTGTATAGAGTTTCTGAGGCTTTAAATCTTTGAAGAAGCAGAAAGGCTATATCTCCCATGAAAAGCATTCCTGTACATTCACAATATGCATTAGGTATTATTTCCCAATAAATCCCTGTGCATAACTCTAATGAGGTTCTGGACATGTTATACTAATATGTTTTATTTCAATTTTGTGCTTCATTTAATCAATTGTGAGTTATTTAAAGCCAATACTGTCTTTATTTATCAAGAATATAATGAACTAGGCAATTACTAATTATTCTGCATGCAAAAATTAATAATTTTAATTTATGGATATTCTACTAAGTACAATAATAATAATATTTATGCTCTCTTTATAGTCACTGCTTATTCTCACAAAGCAAAGTGAATTCAGAATCTGTGATATTTACTATTATAAGTATATTGCATATTGGAATTGGTCTTCTTGTTATTCCTGAAAGATCAATTAATACAATGATTACTCATATTTACACACAGTGCACTAATGCAAAGATAAAGAAATTGAAGATTTTTACCAACTTCTGCAGTCTGAAATTGATCTAACATGTAGTTAAGATACATTGAAAACTGCTGGTGATTGGGAAGTGAAAGTTGAAATAAAGAAGGATCAGCAGCTGGAAAGTATGGCCTTGGTGATAGCATAGTTATATACCATGTAACAACAAGGGCAGAAATGACTCAGGAGCTTATATGATAGAGTTTTGCAAGACCAATGACTTATTGATTGCAAATACCATTTTTCAACTGCATAAACAAATTCTGTGCATGTGTACCTTTGAGGGAATACAGTGCAATTAAATCTTTGAAAAGAAACAATAGAAAAGTTCAATATCATCTTTCAGAGCAGGGGCAGGAGTGAATTATAGAACACACTATCAATGATTTATATATAAGCTCAAGTTGAGGAGTCCTAGTGTGGTGCTGTGGGATAAAGCACTGGACCACGAGGTCGGTTTGACCCACTAAGTCAGTTTGAACAGCAAGGTCAGCTGTTCAAGCTTACCATCTGCTCCTTGAAAACCCTATACAGACTTGCTATGAATCAGAACTGACTCAACGGTACTTAAAAACAATAGCAACAACAACAAACTCAAGTTGAAGTTGTAGAAGTTAAAACAAGTCAAAGTATGACCTTGAGTATGTTGTTGTTAAGTGCTGACTTTGCAGTCCAGAGCATTAACTTGCAGCACCACACCAGGACTGCTGACCATGAGTATATCCTACCTGAATTTAAAGACCATCTCAAGAATAGATTTTACACATACCTCTGTATATAGCTATGTTGTTATTAGGTGTCGCGGAGTCAATTCTGACTCATAGTCATCTTATGCACAACAGAACAAAATACTGCCTGGTCCTGTGCCATCCTTGAAATTGTTGTTATGTGCTATAACTATGATATAAAATATTCTTATATTCATGACTTTGATTTTTCTTGTTGCTTCCACTCTTCTACAGAATATGGATTAAATATGTTAGTTATTTCATAGTGCATAACTAAAAGGAGCTCCATAAATGTTTGTTGAATGACAACAAGCATTTATCAGACTCATAAGTTGCATATAATATAGTTATATACAGCATAACACTAACACTGAGGATATCCCAGGACCAGGCAATGGTTCTGTTGTACAAAGGATCACTATGAGTTGAAACCAACTTAATGGTACCTCATAACAACTACAACCACATAGCTATATACAGAGGTATGTAGGAAATCTATCCTTGAGATGGTCTTTAAATTCAGGAAGGACATACTTAAGCTACTACTATTCAAGATTAACAATACATATATACTTATATCAATTCAGCCTTTTCCCCTTCTGCCCTTCCTTTTCAACATATTACCATTTCTTTCAAGATTAAGATAATTCTAGGAGCATTGAATTTGTTGACCCAAAGATGATTAAATTGTGACTCTATTTTCAACAGTCTGTCTCCCTCAAAATTATCAGTTTCTGCATTCTAAAGTATAACAATTGGTCACTCCTTAACAAACAGAAAGGAGTATTAGCATCATCATTTTCTTGGGCTACAAAGTTCAAACTTAGCGACTAGTATGGGAACATAAATGGCTATACATATGAGTGGGCTTCAAAAGTTCATGAAAAATGGAATTAAAAGATTATGAAATTTTTTCACAAGGCTTGCGAAGCCCCTTTGTATTACCAGCCAATTTTATACTTCTTCCTGATTTCTAAATTCTCTCCTAAAATAGTGCCAGTATTGTGTGGTTCTTCCAGAATGATACCCATCTCATGAGAGAGCATCTGATGAGAAAGTCATTCATGTTTCAGATGGCACCACACGAGACAAAGCTGTTGTCTTGAGAAGTTGAAGTATCAAGATCATCCATTAGCTTACTCTTAATTAGTGCTTTAAGGATCCCAGGTGGTGCTCTGGGTTAGGTGTTAAGCTGCTAATCACAAGATCAGTGATTTAAACCCACCAGCCACTCTGTGTGAGAAAGATTAAGCTATCTGCTCCTGTAAAAATTCATAGTCTTGGAAAACCTGTATTGAGTTTACATGAGTCAAAATCAACTCAAGAACACTGTTTTGTTTTGTTTTAAATCAGTTAGTGCTTCCAGAAGGCACAAAACATATCTACCTTATTTAGTCTTATTAATAGCTGCAATACTAGTATTTCAAATATAACTTTGTCTACCAGCCTGAATTTCTGAGAAGAAATATGATATACTAGATACTGTCTTTTCTAGGGTCTTCTCCCTTTTTCTTCATAATAGATGTCTAACATCCTACAGGTACTACTTTTACAAACTTCTGATACATACCTGTTCTGTTTCATTAAATATACCAACACCCACATCTATATTCAATTCACCAGTCTTGAGGTTATTTACATACCTAACTGTTGACACTCTGTTTCTCCATTCCAATCTATCTCTTACACCATTATCATCTTCTCAAAGTAGAGATTTTGAGCTATTTGTCTCTCTTGCACTCTGTGCATGTTTGTGTATGTCTGTGTATGTTTGTGTGTGAGAGCAGTAGAGAGATCAGTACTAGTTAATGTAGAAATAAAAAAATAGACTTACACAGAATCAGGAAACACAAATGTTCAAAAATACAAAAAAGGCTTTAGTAAAATGGATTAAGAACCCAAAACTTAGCCAACAAGTGCACAATTTTTAGGGATGATATTAAAGATATGTAGTTTTCAATATGGCATGAGAAGTAATCAAACAAATGGACACTATAGATGAAAAACTGGACTGGTTACACTGATTAGACCAGTTGAATATTGACCACAAATTTTCACTAAGAAAGGCACAGAAATGTAGGACAAAAATATATTTATAAGTCTGACTTAAGACATACACATACACTTGTTAGAAACAATAAAATATGTTTATTTGGAAATAATCACATTATGCATCATACAAAAAAAAGTAGTGTGATTATAGTTGAACTAAGAACAGAGTAAGGCTTTGTTTCTCTTAGAAGGCTCTTGGAGAACTTAGGTCTGGTCAATAATAACACATCCAAAAGGACACAGTTTTCTGCTGAATTTGATAAAATCTATTTAGTGAGACCTGAGAGAATTGTAAGACCTTGAAACAAAAATGATCTTGGAATGGTCATTTTAGGGAAAAAGGTGCCCTGGGAGTAATGTTCTAGCAGCAAGAAGAATCACATATTCTATGGCAAAAATGGCCAACAGTCATAGCTATGTTGTTAAGTGCTGCCAAGTCAGTTGCAACTCCTAGTGACCCTGTATAGGGTTTTCCAGAAGCAGCTGGTGGTTCACAGTCCAGGGTTGATCCTACCGTGGCACACCAGAAGCTATAGCAGGACCCATATCCACAATCACAGCCCAAGTCATATCCACATCCATAGTGGTGGCCATAACAACAGTTGTATCTACAGCCATAGCCAAAGCCATATCCACAGCCAAAGTCTGAGCCATAGCCACAGTCACAGCCACAACCACCATAGTGCATGCAACTTGTGATGTCAAAAGGTGATGTTCAGAGGAGGAGGATTCTGAAGTCTGAATGTCATCTGCTCTTCCAGGACCTTCATATATTTTCAAAACGGGATGGGGCACACTTAGCACAAACTCTGTAGCCTCATTACAACAGCAGTTTTCATTTTTAGAAAGTTCTCTATGCCTAAGACAATGATATTTTCAGGGTGTTAAGTCCAGGACTTGATACTGCCCAATAAAAAGTGTTGAAAGAAAGTTGATGTTAGCTACATATTGAACAAGTATGTCTAATAAAATGAAATTTTATCCTCAAGGCGTAAATTCTTTTAGAGACCTCTAGCACTAGGTGATGGTTTAGCAGCTCATATCTCATTATCCATCATCCTTATTGTGGAGGTGAGAGGAAACCAGTAGTGACATATGGTAAGGCATTCTCAGGTTGCAACTGCCAAAAACTAGATGGAACCCAAATAAATGTGCAAGGCTTCGGTGGCAGAAACAAGAGACAAGTGAGGTCAAAAATGTCAGAAATGGTGCAAAATAGCAGTCTGAAGGTAATAAACCATATAAAACCTGTGATTTTTAAAATTTTGCCCAATGCAAAATAAACTACTCTATTTCATGTTTCCTGGTGTGGCATTGTGGGATAATGCACTGGACCAATGCATTGTCAGTTAGAACTGCAAGGTTGGCAGTTCAGATTCACCAGTTACTCCTTGGAAACCCTATATAGGGTAATGATGAGTTGAAACTGACTTGAAGGACCTTAACATGAACAATATTTTGAACTTTTCAGTAGGTTTCTCTTTGTGAAACATCCTACCTATTTATCTCTGGAGTCTGGTTGTGGTGGCACTGTAGGATAAGTGCGGTACTACAAGGTGGAGCTCTGGTAGTGTAGTGGTTACGAATCGGGCTGCAAACCTTAAGGTCAGCGGTTCGAAACTACCAGCCGCTCCACGGGAGAAAGATGAGGCTTTGTACTCCCGTAAAGATTTACACCCTCGCAAACCCTGTACAGGGTCGCTATGGGTCGGAACTGACTCGACGGCACTTAACAACAACAACAAACAAGGTAGGTTTGAACCACATCAGTGGTTCAAACATACAGGTCGCTCCTCAGAGACCCTATACAATGTGACTATCTGTCAGAACTGACTCAATGGTACATATCAACAACAACAACAAATGTCTCAAAGTGGAACAGGAGTTTATGCATTGGACTGCTAACTACAATGTCAGCAATTCAAACCCACCTGTTTCTGCATAGAAAGAAGAGGAGACTTTCTTTCAGGTAAGATTTATAACTTTTGAAAGCCCACATAGGGTCTCTATGAGTCATAATCAACACGACGGTAGTGGGTTTGGCTTTGGTTAGAATTGTCCCAAGGGCCCCTAGTGGCACTATAGAATAAGCAGTGGACTGTTGTTGTTGTTCGGTGCCATCGAGTCAGTACTGACTCATACTGATCCTTTGCACAACAGAACAAATCACTGCCAGGTCCTGGGTCAACCTCACAATTTGTTGCCATGCTTGAGCACAATTATACTGCCATTTTACCAATCCACCTTGCTGGGGTTCTTCCTCTTTCTCTCTGACCATCAACCTTACCAAACATGACATCCTTCTCCAGTGACTGGTGCCTCCTGACAATATGTCCAAAGTATGAGAGACAAAGTCTGGCTATCCTGGTGTCCAAAGAGCACTCTGGTTGCACTTTGTCCAATACAGATCTATTTGTTCTTTTGGCAGCCATGGTACTTTCAATATTCTCCTCCAATACCATAACTCAAAATGCATGAATTCTCCTATGATAATCCTTATTCACTGTCCAGCTTTCACATGCATACGAGGTTATTGAAAATGTCGTGGCTTGGGACAGATGTACCTTATTCCTCAAGCTGACATCTTTGCTCTTCAACACTTTAAAAAGGTCTTCTGCAGCAAATTTGCCTAATGCAATACGTCGTTTGATTTCTTGACAGCTGTTTCCATGAGTGTTGATGGTTGATCCAAGAAAAATGAAGTCCTTGACAATTTCACACTTTTCTCCATTTATATGGATGTTGTTTGATGCTCCACTGGTGAGAATTTTTGTTTCTTCAAATTGAAATTCAATCCATACCAAAGGCTGTGGTCTTTGATCTTCATAAATAAGTGGCTTAAGGCCTCTTCACTTTCAGTAAGCAAGGTTGTATCATCTGCATATCACAGGTTGTTAATGAGTCTTCCTCCAATCCTGATGCTGTGCTTTTCTTCATATAACCTAGCTTCTCAGATTACTTGCTCAGCATACAGATTGAGTAAGTGTGGTGAAAGAATACAGCCCTGTGTCACACCTTTCCTAATTTTAAACCATTCAGTACTGCCATGTTCTGTTCGAACATTTGCCTCTTTGTCCATGTACAGATTCCTCAGGAGCACAATTAAGTGTTCAGGAATACTCATACTTTGCAATGTTGTCCATAGCTTGTCATGATTCACACAATTGAAAGCCTTTGCATAGCCAATAAAGCACAGTTAAACATCTTTTTGGTATTCTCTACTTTCAGCCAAGATCCATCTGATGTCAGCAATGTCATTCTACGTCCTCTTCTGAATCCAACTTGAATCTCTGAACTTTTCTGTCAATATATGGTTGTAGCTGTTTCTGGATTACTTTAGTAAAACTTTACTTGCACGCAATATCCAAGATATTGTCTGATGATTATCGCATTCCATTGAGTCACCACTCTTTGGAATGGGCACAAATAGAGATCTCTTGTTGGTCAGATGCTTGTCTTCCAAATTCCTTGGCATAGATAAGTGAGGGCCTCCAGTGCCACCTCACTTTCTTGAATGATTTCAATTTGTATTCCGTCAGTTCCCGGTGCCTTGTTCTTTGCCAATTCCTTCAATGCACCGTGGACTTCTTCCTTCAGTACCATTGGCTCTTGAGCATATGCTACCTCTTGAAATGGTTGAACACTGGCTATTTCCTTTTGGCACAGTGAGTCTGTGTATCCCTTCCATCTTGTTTTTATGCTTCTGCATCATTCAGTAATCTACCCAGAGCATCTTTCAATAATAAAAGTTTGGGCTTGAATTTTTTCTTCAGTTCTCTCAGCTTGACCAATGCTGAGCCTGTTTTTTCTTTTTGGTTTCTAACTCCAGATCTTTTCACATTTCGTTATAACATTTGGCTTTGTCTTTTTGAGCTGACCTTTGAAATTTTCTGTTCAGTTCTTTTACCTCCTCATTTCTTCCATTTGCGTTAGCATCTCTACACTGGAGAGCAAGTTTCAGAGTCTCTTCTGAAATCCATTTTGATCTTTTCCTTCTTTCTTGTCTTCTTAATGACTGTTTACTTTCCTCCTGTATGATGTCATCCCACAACTCTTCTGGTCTTCAGTCTTTAGTGTTTTATGTATCAAATTTATTCTTCAGATGATCTCTAAATTCAGGTGGGATATATTAAAGTTCATATTTTGGCTCTAGTGGACTTGTTTTTATTTTCTTCAGCTTCAGTTTGAATATGCATATGAGCATTTGATGGTCTGTTCTACAATCTGCCCCTGACCTTGTTTTTGCTGATAATATGGAGATTTTCCACCTTTTTTTAAATACATGTACTCAATGTGATTTATGCGTATTCCATTTGGTGAGGTCCATGTGTATAGTCATCTTTTGTTGTTGTTTGCCGTGGAGTTGGTTCCGACTCATAGTGACCCTGTATAGGATTTCTGAAGCTGTAAATCTTTATGGGAGCAGAAAGCCTCATCTTTCTCCCGTGGAATGGCTGGTAATTTCGAACTGCCAACCTTGAGGTTTGCAGCGCTATTCATAACCACGTCTTTTATGCTTTTTTAAAAAAGGATTTGAAATGAATAAATCATTGGTTTTGCAGAATTCTATCATGCAATCTCCAGTATCACTAAGGCCATATTTTCCAATTACTAATCCTTCCTCTTTGTTTCCAACCTTTGCATTCCAATCACCAGTGATTATCAATATATCTTGATTGCATGTTTGGTCAATTTCAGATTGAAGAAGTTGGTAGAATTTTTCTATTTCATCCTCACTGGCTTTAGTGGTTGGTGCATAAATTTAAATAATAGTGGTATTAACTGGTCTTCCCTGTTGTTGTTTTTAAGTGCCATTGAGTGGATTCCAACCCATAGCAACCCTGTGTAGAATTTCTGAGGAGCAGCAGGTGAGCTTGAATCGCTGACCTTGCAGTTCAAATGGTTTTGCAGTCTGTTGCATTAACCCTCAGTATCTTCAGGTGCATGAATACAACAGACAGTGTTGTACGTCATGACTGATCTGGATATGTTCTTTCTGACAATGAATGCCATGCCATTCCTCTTCAATTTGTCATTCCTGGCATAGTAAACCATGTGATTGTCAGATTCAAAATGGCCAGTACCCATCCATTTTAGCTCACTAATACTTACTTGATGGTACCTAACGGCAATAACAATAACAATACCTAAGCTATTGATGTATATGTGTTCCATTTCATTTTTGACAATTTCCAATTTTCCTAGATTGATTCATACTTAATGCATTCCAAGTTTTGATTATTAATGGATGGTTACAGCTATTTCTCTTCATTTTGAGTTTTGCTCCATCAACAAATGAAGGTCCTAAGGGCTCTATTCCATTCATGTCATCACAGTCAACTCTGAGGAGGCAGCTCTTCTCCAGTCTCATTTTCAATGCTTTCCAACCTGAGAGACTAATTTTCCAGCACTATATCTGACAGTGTTTCTCTGTTATTCATAAGGTTTTAGTGACTAAATAGTCAGGAATAGTTCATCTTTCATTCTTCCTAGTCTGTCTTTATCTGGAAGCTCATCTGAAACCTGTCCACCATGGGTGACCCTGCTGATATTTAAAATACCTGTGGCATATCTTCCAGAATCACAGCAACTCACAAGCCACCACAGCATGACAAAATGATAGATGAGTGGACTATTAACCACAAAATCGGTAGTTCAAACCATCCACCTGCTCTGTGTGAGAAAGAT